CCTTATGTCTGGAATCTTCTAAGAATGCTTTTGGCCTCAGGAACTTGGGTGTTGGACCAACCTGAGACCCTGGCCATGGCTGCGCCACGCAGATATGCAAAGGCAGATGGGGAGGGAAGAAGCCCCAAGATTTCCCAGGTAGTGGATTGAGTAGCTGGGTTGTACTGGATGCAAAGGATCAGGGAGAGTAAAGGTCAGCCTCGGAGCCCCAGAAAATGGCTGGCGGGTGTTGCAGGACCAAGGAAGTAGAGGGAGATGAGGGCGGGGCCAGGACCAGAAGTGGTGCTCCTGGAGCCCAAGAAAGGCACTGTGTTGGTCTGGGTGAGAAGGGTCAGGAAGCAGTATTGGTTCCCCAGGTGTCTGGGGCCCCAAGACTAGGAATGGCTCAGGGCCCAAACTAGGAGTATAGAAGGGGGGGGCGATGGAAGGGTAAATGTGGCTTAGGGAGTCCCGGCGGAGAGCTGTACTATAGACTGACCCCAGGAGGCCTGAGGATAGTCGTGCAGGCTAAGAGAGTTAGCTGGTGGTGCAGGCCCAGGGAAGCAGAGAGAGGTGAGGGCAGGGCCAGGACCAGAAGTGGTGCTCCTGGAGCCCAAGAAAGGGACTGAGTTGCTCTGGGAGAGAAGGATCAGGAAACAGTATTGGTTCCCCAGGTGTCTGGGGCCCCAAGACTAGGAATGGCGCAGGGCCCAAACTAGGCGTATAGAACAGCGAGGGGGAGGGATGGAAGGGTGAATGTGGCTTAGGGAGTCCCGTCGGGGAGAGCTGCGCTACAGACTTACCCCAAGAGGCCTGAGGATAGTAGTGCAGGCTAGGAGAGTTAGCCGGTGGTGCAGGCCCAGGGAAGCAGAGAGAGGTGAGGGCGGGGCCAGGACCAGAAGCGGTGCTCCTGGAGCCCAAGAAAGGGACTGAGTTGGTCTGGGTAAGAAGGATCAGGAAGCAGTATTGGTTCCCCAGGTGTCTGGGGCCCCAAGACTAGGAATGCTGCAGGGCCCAAACTAGGAGTATAGAACTGTGGGGGGGGGGGCTTAGGGAGTCCTGGCGCAGAGAGCTGCGCTATAGACTTACCCCAAGAGGCCTGAGGATAGT